TTGTGTGGTCGTGTGCTGAGTGCTTACTGCGGGCGGCAGCAGTTGTTTCGTTACACAACTGATGTGTGTGAGGGTGTGTACAGTGATTGACTACATGCAAAAGGTAAATTATTTATTTTTAAAAAAGTTGGTGAATTGAAAATCTTTTTTTAATTTTTAGTGTAAAAGTGTGACCCCAAATTTAAAAATGAAAAAAAAAAAAAGCACTGGATGTAATCATAGAAAATCTCACTTGCCTTATTGTGAGTAGGAAATGAAACCCAGAGATGGTGTGTGATAGGGGCAGCCAGCTGCTGCTTTCAAGTGCGTGTGAATCAAGCTGACAAACCATCAGTCAGGAAATGTGGTAACATAACAGTGATCAATTCTCTGTGCTATATGCTGTGTTCAAAAGGGTGAAGAACTTTCTGCTGCAGAAAGATGAGCATGAAAGCTAGAACAAGATTGTTTTTCATGTTTCTATATCAACACTGATGCTAGTGTTTAATACAAGACCGTAGTTTATCGATAATAGTAAAACAAGTAAAACAAGGATATCCATCAGCGTCTGCCTATCTGTGTCATAGTGCCAAGACTGTGAAACCTAGACCCCTGAAACTTGGCATAAATACTAAGGGGACCCTATCGGTGTGCAACTTGGGGCTGTTTTATTTAAAAAAACTCTTTTTTTTAAGGGAACAATCTTCTGGTTCCTGTAAAGCACTATTTTTAAAATAACCTTTCTCCTACACTTAATAAATGTTAAATCTACCTCTAGAGCTGTGTGTGTGTCCTTCCAGTACTAAAGCCAGTGGCTTTTGATCTGAGTTCTTTGTTACCGTACCTTTTTCTTGCTAGGAGGCCTAAAGCAGGGTCTTGTCTTGAAGCCTCCAGTGGGACCTGGAAGATCTGAGAATCCCCTGGCTTAGGCTGATGTGAATGTATAGCAATGGTGGCAGTGTACCAACAGAAGCACAAAAAGGGTGATTTTTAACATTGAACTATATTTTACTTCATGTCAGCATTATCAAGCCTGTGAAACAAAACTTTGGGACATGCCTAAGAAAATAGCGGATTAAATCATAAAATGCTGGTGGAGCACAGTGGCAAAAGAGGTGAGCAGTTGGAACTCCAAAGTCCACATTTTGGCCATGAACTCAGTAAGAAGCCTTAGGAACGCGACATCTGAGTCTTTCCATGAACCCCACCTGTAATCTGTAGATAGCAGCAGTAGCCTACCTTACAGCTGCTCTTACCAAAAGTAATACATGTGGGATTTTTTAACACTTAATGATCACAGCCAACATACTAGTACTGCTTAGCATTTAGATAAATGCCAGGCATTAGTAGCATGTTGACTGTTAGTAATCATTTACTGAAGGTAAGCATAGATTCCTGGTTTCCACAAAAAGATCAGAGGATAATATCCATGAAAGGCCAGCTTTCCTCCCTGCATTCTATTATTAACTGAATTGAACTGAACTAACTAAATTGCTAAGTATACTGGAGGAAAGCATTGCAAATTCCCCAGACTATAGAAGGATGAACAAGTGGGTCCTGGATCAAATCAAGACAGAGCTTTCCCTATTCATTCATTCGTTCATTCATTCATTCATTCATTCATTCAAAACTTTTCTATACCATCCCATCACAGATGTCTTGGGATGGTTTACAGCAAATTAATCCTAAAAGTAGAATTAAAAATAACAGTTGCCCAGCATCAGATGTTAAAATATAAACCCACTAACTAAAAGAAGTAAAATACTGGGAGAATAAAAAGGTTATTGCCTGACACCAAAAGGAAAGAATCGTTGGCACCAGGCAGACCTCTCTGAGGAGTGTGTTCCACAATTGGGGCACCACCACAGAGAAGGCCCTCCTCCGGGTGACCACCCGGATGATCTCTTTCTGGAGGAGAGCCTCTGACTCAGATCTCATTATCTCGTTATTTGTTTTTCGGCGCCAGGCGAAGACCTTTTTATTTAAGCGTCATTTTAATTGTTAATATTATTTGATTTTATCTGGCCAGGGTGACTTATTTGATATTCTTATTTGATATTGTTATTTTTTGTATTTTAATTTAATGTTTGTATTTTACAAACATTTTAACTTAATGTTATGTTAAGTTAATGTTGTAACTTAATGTTTGTATTTTATCTTAATGTTGTGAGCCGCCCCGAGGCTTCGGCGAATGGGGCGGCATAGAAATGTTTTAATGAATAAATAAATAAATAAAATAGGGGAGAAGGCGCTCCTTCAGGTATCCAGGACCCAAGCCATCTAGGGCTTTATAGGTCATCACCAGCATCTTAAATTGGGCCCGGACTTCAATCGGCACCCAGTGTAGACGATAGAGGACCGGCGTTATATGTGAACACCTGCAGGTCCCCATTAATATCTTGGCAGCTCTGTTCTGAACCAATTGAAATATCTGGACCGTCTTCAAGGGCAGCCCCATGTAGAGCGTGTTACAATAATCCAGTCAGGAAGTTACCATAGCGTGGGTCACTGTTGCAAGGCATTGCTGTGTTCTTTCTGTTTCAATATTCTGCAACTCTTTCCTTTTAGCTTGTATTTCCACCGAAGTTTTAAAATTCCAATCATTTATGTATTTCTTCTCCAAATCCTTTATTTCACCTTTCAGATTTTCCACATGTTTAGCCTTTAAAAACTACAAGCTTCCCTAATACTTACTCCCCTTGCAAAAGCCTTCATTGTGTCCCATGCTAAACTTCCTTCAGTGCTGCAAAATGCTTAAATCCATCCTCCATATTTTAACCTTGTCATAGTCACATTTAATTTTAAAGTCCATATTTATTAATGCATGATCTCTGACTCTTATCAAACCTATATCTGAATTATATACTCTATAAAACAGGTCCTTTGATAGAAATATATGATCAATCCTAGAATAAGATTTATGAATCTATGAATAAAATGTGAATCTTCTTTAATTTCCCTTCAACTCTCTCCATACATCTTTTGAGTCAATATGATTTTTCTTTCTATTTAATGATATAGTGTTATGCCTTATTTATTTTTTAGTAGGATTTAATCTATCCTTTTCATCCATTACCATAGTGAAATCTCCTGTCATGATTACAAATCCTTTCCTGATACTTTCTAAGCCATCCAGGACAGTTTTTAAAAATTGTATCTGATCAAAATTTGCTGAGTAGATATTAACTAGTGTATAATTCTCCTCTCATTTCATTTTCTAGTATCAGGTTAAGAAAGATGTATCCACCTTTCACATCTTTCTTTACTTCTTTAATTTTAAACTCAGTTTTTTTTAGATATAATAATTGCCACTCCTCTGGACTTTGAATTCCCAGACACTTTTTCATAAATCTCAGACCTAGAATATCTTAATTCATTAACTCCTTTTTTATGTGCTTCTTGCAGCAGAAATACAATATTGGCACTATCCTTATTCAACTTTGATTCAATACTTTTAATTATTCCCCAGGCCTTTAACGTTCAAAGATAATACTCTCATTGCTTGAGACATGGCACCTTATAAAGCCTTATGGTCCCCTATAGTGATGCACAGAGAGACATGCAACCTCTGCCACCCTAGTGGAAGCCATATTAATGAATGGTGAGACATTAGGGGCTCAGGGGCCTCAGAAATCCCAGGGAGGCCAATGGAAGTACATCAGGGTGAGGCAAGTAAGTTTATTTTATTTTATTTATTTATTTTTCGATTTATATCCTGCCTTTTTCCTGAAAGGACTCAAGGCAGCTTACATCATTCTCCTCGTCCATCTTATCCCCACAACAACAACCCTGTGAGGTAGGTTGGGCTGAGAGTCTGTGACTGGCCCAAAGTCACCCAGTTGGCTCCATGGCCGAGCGGGGACTAGAACCCAGATCCCCTGAGTCCCAGTCCCATGCTCTTAACCACTACACCACACTGGTAATTACAATTACAAAAGTGTCCCTTCTTTTTCCTTCCGTTATTCGAGCAAATTTCCATCACATTTTATTCATAAATTGAAGTCTCCAATTTCTTTTATACAAGTTTTTTCAAATTTTATCAAAATAATTTAATTTTAGCTTATTTTGTTTTTATTCAGTTTTTATTTTGTAGCTTTTAATTGCCTCGCCCTGTATATAGTACTTTACTTTCCCTGTAGCACAGAATGGCAACCATTCACTTATCTGGGAGGAGGTAAAAGTATCCACCTGGCAAAAATAGTACAAGGGCGAAGGGCTAAACTTATTCCTGGCGCCTGATGATTCCCACCTGTGGTTGATCAAGCCTGATTTTATTTGAATAACCCACTTTTCCTAATCACCCTAAGTATAATGAAATATCAAAACCATGCTTTTATATGGTACAGAAGGCAGAGATCTTCGAAATTACGATAACATAGCTCTCATTTAGAACCTTTTAAAGATATGTAACAACATGATCTCAGGGTAAGATAGATCGCTATCAGAGAAGAACAGGACAGGATAGATATCTTGCATGATGCAAAATCTTGACCTCTTTCCTTAACAAATAGTCCTCAGCTGGTTCAACAATAAGCAACAGACCAATATATGATTATGATGTTTACAAGCACATTTTCGTAAAGTACAAAACCATCCAAGACAGTTAAAGTTAATGCTGTACCGCCTCAAAGATACAGCGGCCTGATAGTAAAACATACCTTCTAGGACTTTCCCTAAGTTTTAACATATTCTGAAGTATGACTTTTGATACCTGAAAAATAACCTAATCTTAATTCACTAAGGGGAGCAAAGAGAAATATGGGTGCTCAAAGAAGTTTGCTTGATGTTAATAGCTGTCTACAAACAGAGCATTTCATTTCCTGCCACTCAAAAACACAAGTGCAAAGCCCAAAAGCTAATATATTAAAGTAGAAACCCCAAGGAGACATAACAAGCCATACCTTGCATCCTTTTATCAGGTGAATAATTAGAAGTTTTCTTATTTGGCCTGAGGCTTAGTACCATATAACCGTCTTCATCTTCCATGGCCCAAAATGATTCTATCTCAAAACTCAAAAAAAAGAAAAAACAAGGATGCAGTTGGCTAGATGTTTAGTGACTTATCTTCAGCGAACTGCTTAGGGCTGAAAAGGAAATTAAGCACCCCTTCTGGCATCTCAACTGTGAAACCACAGGTGACAGTTTTAAAAGTGACCTTTTATAGATGGTAGTTTGATGCCATATAGCGGTGGACCATCCCCGTAATCTAGTACTTCCCTTGGGCCCCAGATTGCGAATGTAAACATAGCCTGCCCTATTCTTTCCAATGGACGGAGTGAAATGGTGTGAACAGCATACCTAATCTAATCCTCTCTCCGTTGAAACATATGAACCAATTCCTGCACACACAAGCTCCTCGAGTGCAGAAAAGCACATATAGACCTGCAGGTCAAGGTACTTGTACAATTCCTGATTTGCATTTTTAAAGGCTGGTGGACTTCTTTTTATAACGTTTTGAAAAATCTCAGGTTTAACTTATTTTGGTCCTCATGACTACAGATAACAGCCTGAACTTAAAACTGAAGCATGTATTTTAAGGTCTCATAAACCAAGCAGTCATCCCATAGTAAAGTCTGACCTTGGCCTGGTCCAGATATAACAGTATAAACCATGATGAACTATGGCTTTTTGGTAAGAGCTACATCTGAACAAGGCTAAGGGTCACCCTTTCTCTTTTAATGGACATCCTTTGGTATCCAGATGCTTACTCTTCACTTTGAACACTAATAGTCTGAACAAGATGAGGTCATTTTTGGAAAAGGCCAGTTTTAGGCTCTGGGCAATGGTCTTCAGGGTTTTTTTTAAACTGTTTTTATAATTTTATAGTATTTTAACTGTTTTATGGAGTCGTCCCTGGCCATGTTGCCGCTTATGTTTCCTGGGGAGCGCACCGGTGCCGCCATTGGGGTGATTATGGGCAATGGACGTAACAGCAGTGGGAGCTTAATGTGTCTGCATAGAAGAAGGAGGGACAGATGGCTGACACCTGTCCCTACTTCTGGTTTTGCTCCCAGCCAAAGGGTGCCAGGGAGTCTCGTCAGTCACCCCTTGGGCCTGACGGTGCTGCTGCTTAATGCCAGGTCGGTCAATAACAAATCTGCCCTCATCCATGACCTGATTGTGGATGAGGGGGCCGACCTAGCCTGCATAACGGAGACCTGGGCGGGAGGGGGGGATGTTGCCCTCTCCCAAGTGTGCCCGCCTGGGTATCTGGTCCAGCACTGCTCACGGCTGGAGGGGAGGGGAGGGGGGGTTGCTTTGGTTTACCGAGCCTCCATCTATCTCACGGGGCTTTCTGTCCCTTCGGGACCAGGGCTGGAGTGCCTCTACTTGGTGTTGGGCGACCGAGACAGATTGGGGATTCTGTTGGTGTACCGTGCACCCTTCTGCCCAACAGTCTCCCTGCCTGAGCTGACAGAGACTGTCTCGGACCTGGTGTTGAGGACCCCCAGGATGTTGGTCCTGAGGGACTTCAATCTCCATGCCGAGGCTAGTCTGACCGGGGCGGCTCAGGACTTCATGACCTCCATGACGGCCATGGGGCTGTCTCAACGTGTCACCGGCCCGACCCATGAACGTGGACACACTCTGGACCTGGTATTCACGACGGGGCAGGAAGAGGGTGGTCTGAGGGTGAGGAATTTATGCTTGACTCCCCTGTCATGGTCAGATCACTTCCTGGTGAGGTTTGTGCTCGAGAGCGACTTCTCCCTCTGTAAGGGTGTGGACCCGATTGTGTGGGTCCACCCCCGGAGCCGGATGGATCCGGAAGGATTCCTGAAGGCCCTGGGGGAATTTCCGGCTGACAAGACTGGTGCTCCTGTCGAGGCTCTGGTCGAACTGTGGAATGGGGAGATGACCAGGGCTGTAGACATGATCGCTCCTAAGCGTCCTCTCCCACCGGGCAGAACCCGCTCTTCCCCTTGGTATACTCCTGAATTGAGGGCGATGAAGCAGGTTGGGAGACGGCTAGAGCGTAGGTGGAGGAAATCACGTGATGAATCTGACCAAACACACTTAAGAGCCCACTATCGGGCCTATGCTGTGGCGGTGAGGGTGGCGAAAAAGAGATTTTTTTCCGCTTCCATTGCCTCTTCACAATGCCGTCCGGCGGAGCTCTTCTGAGTGGTGCAAGGCCTGGTTCGCCCAGGTCCAAAAGAAGATTTGATCCCACCCTCAAAGGCCCGCTGTGATGACTTTGCCAGGCATTTTAGGGAGAAAATCGCTCAGATTTGTCACGAGCTGGATACCACTATTGATTCAGAGCTTTCAAAGGAGACACCAACGCTGCCGTCTGGTCCAGATTTATTGGATGAATTTCAGTTACTGCGGCCCAATGATGTGGACAAGGTGCTTGGGCGAGTACGTCCAACCACTTGCCTTTTGGACCCTTGCCCGTCTTGGTTAATAAATGATTCCAAGCACGGGATTGGAACCTGGATCTTGGAAGTAGTTAATGCTTCTCTGAGGGAGGGTCGGGTGCCTGCCCCTTTAAAGGAGGCGGTAGTCCGACCAGTCCTGAAGAAGGCATCACTGGATCCAGAGATGGCCACCAATTATAGACCAGTGGCCAACATCCCGTTTCTGGGCAAGGTGTTAGAGCGGGTGGTGGCGGGACAACTCCAAGCACTCTCGGATGAAACTGATTATCTGGACCCATTGCAGTCCAGCTTCAGACCCGGGTACAGTACTGAATCTGCCTTGGTCGCCCTGTATGATGACCTGTGCAGGGAGAAGGACAGGGGGAGTGCATCCCTATTGGTTCTCCTGGACCTCTCAGCGGCTTTCGATACCATCGACCATGGTATCCCTCTAGATAGGCTTGCGGGATTGGGGGTTGGAGGCACTGCTTTGCAGTGGTTCCGCTCCTATCTCAATGGCCGGTTCCAGAAGGTGGTGCTGGGGGACTATGGCTCTGCGCCATGGCA